GCATAGAAATCAAGCAAATTCAACATAGGTCAAACATTGAAGGAACCAAATGGCCGGTGCAAGATTGAAAGAGTCGCAGGTGAGTGCATTGATGGGAATAGTTGAGAAGATTCGCTACACACTACAGACAATTTCTCCTAAATAGTATATACATATCATGACGCTTTGAAGAGCACACAGGATTTCCCTTGGCGAGGAAAACGAGTTGTGTTTCGTTAAACGAGACTCGCAAGGGGACGGGGCCAAGTCCCTGATATAAAAGTGAACAAAGTAAATGAAAAATAAACAAAAAACCAAAAAAAAAAAAAAAACAGAGTAACGCGAGAAAAACTTACTACGAGTTAGCACAGTACGGTATCAGGGGAGCGACATACGCTGTATCCAAGGACTCTCTGTGTACAAAGAAACATACACGCGTCACAAACACACACACACACCTGGCTCATGTTCATACGTACACCTATACACACGTTACATAACTGAACGTTTACACACCTGACACATACACACACACACACAGACACACGTTCGTTGACCACACCGCCCTTTTACACGTTTTATCGGTCCTTTTGACTTCGTGGATAGAGGTACGATTTTTCTTATACACGCCCGGCAACGTCGATGACTTCCGGTTCTGAGTGTACGGGAAATACCGGCACCGGAAGTGGTCGCCGTTGAATCACAATTATTGCTAATCTCATTATTATTGCTTATCATTACGGTTATACATTAAAGAAAAAAGAAAAAAAGAAAGATGATGATGAAGGGGATTTAGAGGATGAATAAGAAGAAGAGACAGATGCTGATGAGGAGTTCGTAACGTCACGCCGTATTCTGGTCGGAGCACAGTTTCTTTCGAAATTCCGGCGTGACGTCACCTTCATTATTGTATTCAATAGCATTATAATTTATTCTTGTAACATCATTATCGTTATTGCTGCGATTGCCGTGACGATCATCGTCGGCCCCAGTTTCGCGGCAATTTCGAGAGTCGCGTTTAAGAGTTGTGAGGGAAAATAGAAGAGATTGCGGAATGAACGTGAGAAAGAGGTGTTCGATGTGTGTGATTCTGACGTTATTGCCAGCGTATCGTGGCCGACGATCGTGTCGCGCGTAATCGAGAAGAACCGATGCGAAGATGAAGAAAAAAATGAGAAGCGAATTATATATATATATATCTATTATTGTAACGAGAGTTGTGCGCTGCGTTTGCGATTTAAGCTAGTTCGTTTGTAAATAAAGACTATTTAACTCTTTGACATCAGTGTGTCTCATCGGCTGGGCTTTTCTTCTCCTCATTGCCCTCCTGAAACGGCGACCTTTCCTCTAGATCCAGGGTCGTGTTTGCACATTCGGAGGCCCTAGGCGCAACATCGTTACGAAGGAACAAGTCTATTTCTGTTAATCAAATTCATACACACTCCTTTTTTAAGTGTATTGAAAATAAAAGTCGACATTTTTTAATAAAATAAAAATAACAGCATCGGTATACGTATACTTGCATTGAGAGAAGCATAAAAATAAATCAGTTCAAATTCACTCTGGTAACCGAGTGTTTTATCGTCCGGGAAAGTCTTTGTATTTCAGATACTCGATGTACCCAGAGTTGCATAGCATTTTTTGAGACTCTCCTAGACGACACTTAGGGGAAAAGCGGGCAATGGCGGTCACTTAGGCTGGAATTGAAATAAAACCAAAATATGGGGTGAAATATTTATGGAAAATTACTCTTTACAAACTTCAACTATCGAACTATTTGCAGAATACAAAAATAATTGGTTACATATTGTTTTATAGAAATCAATATTTGTGTCACGGGACGTAAACAAAGGAAACGTCACATTTCGAGCACGTCGTTTTATAATAATCGTACTGACCACCATTGCCCGGTTCTTCCCCTAACATTTGGTCTGTAGAAATTCCCGCCGCCATCTTGGTGAACAGCGGGCCCTCATAAATCAGGCGTTTTCGTTTTCAGCGACCTATTGTTTTTGCATTACGAATTTAATATTTGGAAATAAGTATTTTATTTTGCAACCATAATTAGATTGTTTCTTATATCGTTTGTGAGGAGTGAGGTTTTAATGTGAGGCCCCAGCGTGCGCCTTACGGTAAATACGGCCCTGAGCACCACGGAGAAACGAGGGTGGCAAAATGCGGACGACGCTAACCGGAGTCGCAGAATTTTAATTGGTTATCTCTGCGAGAAGCTACCAGGTATTTGGCTTTGTAATTAGAGTAGCTGGCCCTCCGCGGAAACATTTCGAATCTTTTGATCCTCTTAAGTTTGCTCGCATCAAAAAGTACTTTAATTTCAGCTAGCTTTCGGCGATTCCTTTCCGAACGTGTGTTTACACACGGTCGAATTTTAAAGGGAAATATGTTTTCCTCGTATTTACAGTTTCGTTAACGAAAATAATCATTCGGTAGGTATGTTTCTGATCGAATATGGAGCACCAAATAAAATTTGAGAAATTTTAAACTGATTAATTTATAAATAAATACGAATATTTGTATATTTCGGTAAATTGTCAATCTTTCCACACACTGCATGTTGATAAACGCAAAAAGATCTACAAGTTTAAATAGATATAACAAATAGTTAATTAAAGCTTAATTAGCATTGACACGTTATGCTGGAATAAATGTTTACATACTAACACGACGATATAAAGTAAGTTTACTTTAAAGTTACTTCGAAGTTTTTCGATTTCTCGATATCATTTTTGAAACTTCAATATACAGGGTGGTCAACGTAATTCTTGTTCTAATGACAAAAAAAAAGTATGTCTTGCAGCACTTGTGATATTTGTATTCTTGTTCGCCAAAGGTTCCGTTTAAAGAACTAAAGATTACCTTGATCACTTTGAGAAAAAAAATTAAACCTAACCTAAAAAACATACTGTAATCAGCCTGCAGGCTGCTCTGAACCGAGGTATTTAAAAAAAAAGTGTTCGTATTGGTCCAATTAAATTACGTTGTCCATCCTCTATGTACGGAATTAAATATACAGTACAAATTATGAATATAATTTAATTTTACAACGTTTCTTAACTTACGCTATTCTCACTTTTAGAGGCACGTTTGTAGAAAACTTTTAACGAATGAAAATATCACGGATGATTTGCTTATAAATGCATTCCTACATGTATTATTATACAGGGTGGGCTATGTAAAACAGACCACCTAATTATCTTCTCTAATGTAAGTATGATGGTACGAGAAAATTTTTATACGAAATTTAAATTGCTTCAAAGGGAAAAATTTGTTCAATGAAAAAAATGAGGAAAAAGAGTTGAAGGTCGTTTTAAGGTAGTATTATAATGTCTGTCACAACATACAGTAGAAAAAATATATACATTCATGTAAAAAAAAACATAGCAAAATAGCAAAAAATGGCGTTTATAGAAAAAAAATGTCTTCCATCTTATTCACCCTTTGAAACCGTTTAAATTACGTATAAAAATTTTCCTCATACCACCCGTAGCTAAATAGACAGGGTAGCTAGGTGGCCTGTTTTATATGGCCCACCTTGTATATATCACATACGTTATATGTTTCATATACTGTCGGATAGAAACAAACTGCGAACGTATTTTCAGAAGGAAAAGATATTCTTCAATTTACCGTATTTTCCGATGGTAGGAAATATCGTTAAAAATAGTTCCAGATTACTTTTTCTTTTACAACCTCGCATTCATTCTCTTTTCGTATTAATTAATATTGCAATATATAAAATAACAGAAAATAAAAATAAATTAAGTTGATTAATGATTGCTTTGAAATAAAATGTTAACTTAACCATTATATACAATTTCTGTTTACTATTAAATTACACTGATATTGAAGAATTTCTACATCTAAATATAATTAAATAAGTTTGATATTTAACATTCTACAAAAACTTCATATGGACTCCATAATTTCAGAGAAGTACAGCTTTAATGATATGCATGGAATAAATGTTAATAAACAAAATTAACCATCGAACAACAAAGTAACGTATATAATTTATTAATATACATGTACACTGCCGTTCATAAGTATCAGGACACCCGTTATATTTGTGCAGAAAGTATTACATGATGTAAATTACATTTCTTCACCAAAGTTAGTGTCATAAATCGGTAAAAATAACATGTAAGTACTTGTTGCGCTACGAAATTCCAGGCTGAATTTTTTTTTTTGGACCTTAATCATTTTTTAACGACTGTTTAGGTTTGCTTCACAACCAGTAAATGTCCTAATGAACGGAAGTGTACAAGTCTCATAAATTTAAGCACACTTCGTAACAAATGATTTCACCTATTCTTAAGAAAAAGGCTATTGAACCTATTTAAAAATTAAGGACAACTCGTACAATTAAACTCCATAAAAATTAAGGATAACTCATAAAATTAACCTCAGTAAAAATTAAGAACAGCTCATAAAATTAAACTCCATAAAAATTAAGGATAACTCATAAGATTAACCTCAGTAAAAATTAAGAATAGCTCATAAAATTAAACTCCATAAAAATTAAGGATAACTTGTACAATTAAACTCCATAAAAATTAAGGATAACTCATAAGATTAACCTCAGTAAAAATTAAGAATAGCTCATAAAATTAAACTCCATAAAAATTAAGGATAACTTGTACAATTAAACTCCATAAAAATTAAGGATAACTCATAAGATTAACCTCAGTAAAAATTAAGAATAGCTCATAAAATTAAACTCCATAAAAATTAAGGATAACTTGTACAATTAAACTCCATAAAAATTAAGGATAACTCATAAGATTAACCTCAGTAAAAATTAAGAATAGCTCATAAAATTAAACTCCATAAAAATTAAGGACAAATCACAAACGTAAAATAAACAGTTCAATTTAGCCACAGTAAACCACGAAATTGTCCCATTTAAGTATTAATACAGTCCACGATCCACCTTTGTATACCACACGAATTTCGATCTCGTTACACTCAAGTTTCCAACTCATTCATCACTTCAAGGTCGCTCAAGCTATACAAGGCAGTTGTTCGTACATGAGACACATACCAATATTGTCCTCCAGTGTGGTCCCTGTGTCCTGTCCAGGACCAAAAGCCACCCTGATGCGAAAGGGCGTTGCCCACGTTTCCACGCGGCAATTCCCTTCTTCGTCCAGCTCGTTCCGATCGCACAACGAGTTACCGCAATGTTCAAGGTTGCAAATCCCAGCTTCGTTGTTGCCAGGCTACGACAGGAAATTCGGAAAACTTCGTTAGTCTATACTGGCTCCCCTAGTATCAAACGATTCTGAATTTCAGCTTTCGGCGAAAGAAGGAAATTCGTTTCTTTTATCCGTTTGATCTTATTTCAATGTTATTGAATTAATTCTTCCGTATTTCTTTTTCTTCTTTACTTTTGTGTAGATTATTAGGTCATCACATAAGTTCGTGTCGAATTTTATAATTTTAGATCAATATTTCTAACGATTCTCATTCCACAACTTTTTTTTTTTTGGTACGACCATTATATCGTCGCTGTGGAATTTCCTTGGATTTTCATTAAAATACTTTTCGCCTTCGATACGAACTTACGGGATGACCCAATACAAATTTTTTTAGAATTTTTAACGAAGATAGAGGCACTTCGTGAAATAGATCTGGAGAGATCGCGTGGGAAAAAGGAGTAATTAAGTTAAATGTAAAAAGTATATGCGATAAGGAAATTATTCAATTCTGGTGCATTTCGCTGAAAGAAAATTATTTTCAAATATTTTTTACGTTCGAAACTTCATAAAAATTTTAATTAAGAAAATACATTTATTTCTAGAAGAATAGAATAGATTAGTTTAAACTGATGTTTGAAAGCAGTAAATTGAGAACTTTAAAAGTATGTGACATTTAGACACCAGTATATGTACATTAATTATCGAAAATTTCTAAATGAAATTATGTTTCTGATATTAAGCTTTTATTTATTGTTTTTTACCGCGATTTCATTCTTGCATATTCCTGATTAACTAAATTAATGTTCTGATAAAGTTCAAAAATAAAGGATTAAAACATAACGTTACTACTTTACTGGTAGCCATTGTGAAAATCTATCTATCAGTATTTATTAGAATTATTTACGTGTAACTTACAATCGTGTTTCGTGGTTTATAGAAATCTGAGGTAAAAATGTGAAAAACAAGAATCGCTTGTTATCTTATTCTATCACAATCAACATTAATTTCTTAACATTTTTCTTAACTTTTTTAAATATCTTCGTACTGAAAATAAACGTGAATATCGTTTATGGTAACAAGTAACGTCTTTTAGTTTTTTGCACACAAATGTTAGCATTTGCATTCCGAACTTATCGCACCGCGGAATTTGTATAGATTCGCATTATACCTGTTGCCCCGGAGTGTTTTCCATGTTTATGAAGAACGAAAGAAATTAGGAAAAGAAAACTGTGTTTTTTGTGTCACCAAGTTTTACCCCATGATAATCCTCTTATAATTTCAATTTTCATCAGAATGAGAAAGATAACTAGTGTAGTCAAATAAATAACACCAGTTTTTACTTCAGATATTTAAATCAAGCTTGTTAAAAAATAGTGCAAGATTTATTTACAAAGAATTAGTAAATAGAGAAGAAAAAGCTAATTTTAGAGCAACGTGATACTGGATACTTTTTATAGTAAGTATTTCTGTATTTTATCAAATTTCATTATCACACAAAGTGTGCTGCCTAACTCACACAACTTGAATAACTTTCTTATATATGAAAGTTGCATAATTTCAAAAGAAACATTAAACAACTTCGGTTCTAAAATTATAACTTTTTAACAAAGCTTCAAACGACCTATGTTTATATAACATTTTCTCCTTACTCACACCCATAGAACATGCAGGCAAAGTTTGACAAAGTTTGATCGGAAAAAACTGGGACACCCGGTGTGCACAATCTTCCTAAACAATTGCAATCGAAGGCATAACAGATCTCTACATTTCTCCTTTCTCACGAAACACTTTCCGATACTTGATATATATTATAGCCTGAAACCCTTCAATTAATAGCCTTCACCTACCAAAAGCAACCCAAAACATTTCCCAAACCAAGGAAGTGTAAGATTTATTTGCAAAGAGTTAGCAAAAACGAAAAGGAAACGACTGATTTTAAGACAACGTGATACTTCTCTAGTAAGCATTTCTTTATGTTATTAAATTTCATTATCACACAAAGTGTGCTGCCTAACTCACACAACTTGAATATCTTTCTTATATGTGAAAGTTGCATAATTTCAAAACAAACATTGAACAACTTACATTCTACAATTATTACTCTTTAACAATGCTTCAAACGGCCTATGTTTATATAACATTTCCTCCTTACTCATACCCATAGAACATACAGACAAAGTTTGACAAAGTTTGATCGAAAAAAACTGGGACACCCGGTATGCACAATCTTCCTAAAAAATTGCAATCGAAGGCACAACAGATCTCTACATTTCTCCTTTCTCACGACACATTTTTTGATACTCGAAATATTATATCCTGAAATTAATAGCCTTCATCTACCAAAAGCAACCCCAAAAAAAGGTCTCCGAAACAAAGGAAATAAATTTTCGTCTCAAGGTAGAAACATTACCGTGATAAACTCCTCGAAGTCGCAAGGAATGAGCACCCTGTCCCTGCACCGTTCCTGCCCATAAACCGTATTGGTCGACGCACTGACTTCCTGGTCCATCGGAGTGGTCGCATTAATCATAGTCCCAGCTTCCCCCATTGGATTCGACCCTGATCCCTCGACGTCCGCTTCCGTGTTGTTCGTGGACTCTACTACGTTCACCGCATTCGTGGCTGTTGAATTCAAGTCAGAACTCTCGCCGATCGTCGACGAATTGAAACTCGTGTTGTTCAGAATCTGCATCCTGGGTGGTCCGATACGGAACGAATCCGGAGAACAGGGTACGTAAGCGATCCCGCACATCCCTCTCTCCTGACGAATACACAGAAGATAATCCTGATCGGCCAGAAATCTGCCGTTCGACAGAAAGTTGAACGTCTTCAGGGTGCCGTTGAAACCTTGGTAGTACTGGAGACAGCCTGTCGGCGCACGCTGCTCGAAATCCAACTGAACGATCCTCATCTCCCACATTCTCGACTGGAGACCACTGGGCAACCGGAAGTCCAACGTCAGTGGCTCGTCGTCTTCGTCCAGGTCTATGTACACTGGGGAAAAAATTGAGAATCTGCACGGTTATCTCGAGTACAAAGAGAGGCTTGCAACGAGGAAGATCGATTGACCTCCTAACGAAGCCTTGTGAAGCATCTTTCACGGCATGGTCAAAGGAAACTTATTCGAAAGTATCGTCTTCCGGTGTACAGTGTCCCTTGTTCTTTTTTTTTAGAGCTACAGTTCCGCTCAGGAAATTGATCGTTCCGTATTGTGTCGTAGAAACGCGATATCGACGAGATTTTGATGGTGGAACTATCAAACTCGTGAAAATGGCGGGTTTTTTATTTTTTATTTTAAATTGTAGACATTGTTAAGGCGTTTTTCTTCGTGTATTATAGGGTCTTTTGTTGGTAGAAAGAAATAATTGTACACCCATCCCTCCATTTACGCGGATCGACCGTTCCACGGTGATTTTTTTTACGCGGATAAAAATCGCGTGAATAGAGTCTGCTTATATGCAAGAAAAACAGGTATAAGTTATAAAAACATTTAAATCGCATAGGTTAATAAAAAAAGAATGACGTGTGACCGACTTTGCTGTCGATTATGGTGTTACGTCCGTAACCTCCAAGCCTAGCGAACCTCTCTTGTCTTCGGGGAAACCATAGAAATCCTACAACGGTCACACACTCTGCATTCACCAAAATTCCTTCGGGCAGTTACAGCGAAAAGCCACTCAAGGGTAGTGCAATAAATCAGGTAAGAACCGGGCGCGTCACTCGAGACTATGCGAGGCACCGAGAGCCCGACGCTCGAGGATGCCCGTGGGTCGGAGTGCCACGCGTCTGGTTC